AACAGCGAGGTGCCCCACCTCCACACCATGCTGCTGACTCCATCCCTCACCCTCTGAACACCAACATTACACTGCAACCCTACCTCGCTGGCTTTAGGATACCACAACTTGAAACTTATGATGGGACGAAGGACCCCGATGATCATCTACATGCTTTCTACTCTTGCATGCAAGCCTAGAACGCCTCTGATGCGTTGATGTGTAAAATCTTTCCCTCTACTCTCCGAGGTAATGCTCGAACCTGGTACTACAGCCTACCTCCGAGGTCAATCAGCTCTTGTACAGAACTGGCATCTACTTTTGCCACAAAGTTTTCCAGTATGAGGTTGATTAGGAAAACCACTTCCGAGCTGATGCGAGTTAGGCAGAGGGACGGCGAGTCTTTGAAGAATTTTATGAGCAGATTCAATGATGCAGTGCTGGAGGTTAGCTCTTTTGACTAGGCTGTGGGAATTACAGCTGTGATCTCGGGTCTTGGCCATGAGAGATTCAGAGATAGTTTGCTCAAACATCCTGCCACCACCTTCAACAAGGTAAATGATAGATCATTGAAATTCATAATTGCTGAAGAATATGCCTTGTCGCAGAAACCAGCCCCCTCTAAGAACCAAAACCCAGACTAGAGAGAGGAGAATACAAGCAGGAAGCGGATGAGGATAGCACAGAACCGAGGTCCAATGTTGACCCCCGTACCGAGATTCGGAAGGTCGAACTCCACAACCCCACAACAGTCTGAAGGTAAACCTCCAGTTAATTGGACTCCTTTTAATTTGCCGTAGTCACAAATTTTCATGTCGATCAAGAATAAGATGGATTTAAGGCGTCCTGGCCCAATGAGAACTACTGCTGCTAGCCGAGATCATACTAGATATTGTGATTTTCATCAAGATCACGGTCATACAACAGAACAATGCAACAGCTTAAGGTCTGAACTGGAAAGTCTTGCCCAGAAGGGACTGTTAAATGAGTACATTCAAAGAGCTGAACAGCCACGGTTTGTCAGAGAACAAGGGCCACAGCCTCAAGGAGTTCGTAACCCGCCAAACCGGCAAGGTGTGGGATATCAGCAAACCCCACCTCCGCTCCCACCACCTGCTCGAATCATACACATGATCACGGGAGGCCTGGAAGCCGGTGGACTGAGCTCTAAGCAGCGAAAGTTGTATGTCAGAGAGGCTAAGCATCAGAATCGAGCTCAGAAGCGAAAGCTTGACGATGCTGAGTGGAAGAATCAACCCATTACCTTCACATCTGCTGATCTCAATACAGTCGTCACACCTCACAATGACCCCCTAGTCACTTTTGTCACGATTAACAATTGTGAGGTGCAGCGTGTTCTTGTTGACACAGGGAGTGCACCAGACATCATGTACTTCCATTGTTTTGAGAGCCTTGGGTTAGATCCAGCCTTGTTGCAACGGTATGATGGTCCCATCTACGGGTTCAACAACCAACCAATCCCAGTTGAAGGAGTCCTCACCATGAATGTTGCATTCGGAAGTGGTCGAAGTTATGTGACCCCTTCAGTTAGGTTTCTGGTAGTCAAGATAGCATCCTCTTTCAACGTCATCATTGGCCGACCCACACTGACTGAAATCCGGGCTGTGGTTTCCCAATCTCACCTATGCATGAAATTCCCAACTCCTATGGGAATAGCAACGCTGCGAGGCAACTAGGAGGTGGCTCGATATTGCTATATTACCTCGGTCACACAACCTCAGAAGGGTAAAGATCAGACAACCGAGGCTAATCCCAAACGGATTCCTGAAAATCGACAAGTTATGGGTGTTGAAATATTAGATAACCGCCCAGAAGATGAAACCAAAGCTATTAAGACGACTTTTAGCTACAAGCCCTTATAGCGTAATTAAGCCAACCAACTAGGACTTTTTCGGGATATGAATGAAAGGGTGCTCCACAAGGGCATCCTCGAAGTCATTTTCAAATCAATAAGAAAGTCTTTGAATGATTCTCAAGGGCTCTAGTTCATCCATTGATTAGATTTTATTACCATCTAACTAAATAAGAAAACTAAGGAAGCCCGGGCTAGATTATTAATCATCTCAGTGGGAATTTCCCGCTCTAGTCAAAGATGTGGAAGAAGTACAGATTGATGACAAAGATTCGATCAGGAAAAAACAGATAGGAACTCGGCTGAGCCCCGATGAGAGAACAGAGCTAATAGCCTTTCTCCGAGCAAACAAAGATGTTTTTGCATGGACCTCAGTAGATATGCCGGGAATTCCCACTTCGGTTTCTCAACATAAACTCAGCACCAATCCACTCAAGAAACCAGTAGCCCAGAAGCAGTGCCTCTTCAGGGGAGAGAGGTTAATGGTCATCAAAGAAGAAGTTGAAAAACTCTTACAAGCTGGCTTCGTTAGACTGGTCGATTACTGTGAATGGGTCGCCAATCCTATGTTGGTGAAGAAAGCAAATGGCAAATGGCGGATGTGCATCGATTACACTAACCTCAACCAGGCATGCCCAAAAGACTGTTACCCAATGCCAAACATTGACAAGCTGGTTGAGGCAGCTTCTAGAAATGAGAGGTTAAGTCTCTTGGACGTGTACTCTAGCTACCACCAGGTTCCAATGGCTCCCGAAGATGAAGAAAAACCTCTTTCTATGACGGAGATGAAATCTATTGCGATGTGATGATGCCCTTCGACCTGAAGAATGCAGGTGCCACTTACCAGAAGATGGTCACCATCATATTCCGAGCTCAAATAGGCCGGAATCTAGAAGTATATGTTGATGATATCGTGGTGAAAAGTTTGAAAGCTAGAGATCACTTAACCGACCTTGAGGAGACTTTCAACAACCTCAGAAAGAACATAATGAGGCTGAATCCGGCAAAGTGCATCTTCGGCGTGGAGTCTAGAAAATTCCTAAGCTTCATGGTGTCCAGAAGGGGGATTGAGGTTAACCCTGAAAAGATCAAAGCAGTAGCCAAGATGGAACTATCGAAGTCAGTGAAAGATATACAGAGGTTGACTGGAAGGGTGGCAGCTCTTCATCGGTTCATATCGAAGTCAGCAGATAAATGCCTGCCATTTTTCAAGATTATGAGGACAGCCGCCCAGAAGGATGAATTAGGTAAACAAAAGAAGTTTGAATGGAATCAAGAATGCCAAGTCGCATTTGATGAGCTAAAGTCTTATCTTAGCTCACCATCTCTACTAACTAAGGCCATAGATGGAGAGATCCTCTATTTGTATCTGGGAATTTCAGATGAAGCCATTAGCTCAGTCCTGGTGAGAGAGGAAGCCAAACAGTAGAAGCCAATCTATTACATCAGCAGTGTGCTACATGGGGCAGAGCTGAGGTATCTCATTGCTGAGAAAGTAGCTTTAGCAGTTATCACTTCGGCCAAGAAGTTGAGGCCATATTTCCAGTCACACCTGATCGTTGTCCTTACAGACCAACCTCTTCGACAGATTCTGCAAAAGCCAGAGTGCTCTAGAAGATTAATTAAATGGGCAGTGGAACTGGGGGAATTTGAGATAACATTTCAACAGAGATCTGCAATCAATGCTCAGGCACTGGCAGATTTTATTGTAGAATGCACTCCATGCCATTCAACCCCCAATCCAGAGCCCAATGAGTGGACTTTATATGTTGATGGGGCATCTAGTAGCAAAGGTTCAGGGGCTGGTGCTCTCTTGATTGGTCCAGATGGATACCGAAGTGAACATGCCCTGAAGTTCAACTTCGATGCAACAAATAACATGGCTGAGTATGAAGCTCTGCTACTTGGTTTACAACTAGCATTGGAATTGAAAATCAGCGCAATCTAGGTGTACAGTGACTCCCAGCTGGTGGTGAATCAAATCAACTCAATCTGCGAAGTTGTCGATCTGGTGATGGTGAAGTATGTAACCCTCGTGGCCGAGCTGAAGTGCAAATTTCAGAAGTTCTGTCTGAGCAAAATTCCCCGAGTTGAGAATGAACAGGCAGATTCACTTTCTAAATTTGCCTCGGATAGCTCTTTGAGTTCTAGATCAGTTTTTGTGGAGGTCTTAGATGCACCAAGCTTCATGAAGCCGCAGGAGATGGAGATCAGCACAGACCCAGACACGCCAAGCTGGACTGACTCAATTGTCTCCTTTTTACGAGACGGGGTAATACTTGAGGATAAGCAGGAGGCCATGAAGTTGAGGAAGAAAGCATCTCGGTATACACTTGTTGATGGGGTCCTCTATAAGAGATCTTTCTCACTCCCTCTTCTACGGTGCTTGAATCCCTATGAAACAAAATACGCACTCAGGGAGGTGCATGTAGGTGTCTGCGGAAGTCACATAGGTGCTCAAACTTTGGCTCATAAAGTCCTTAGACAGGGTTATTATTGGCCCAACATGTACAAGGATGCCACTCAGTTCGTACAGAGGCGTCAGAAATGTTAGTTCTTCGCACATCTAATTCACCAGCCTACAGAAGAGCTCACTACTCTGACAGCACCTTGGCCATTTGCTCAATGGGGTCTTGACCCTTTAGGTCCATTTATGAAAGGGGTAGGAGGTGTAACCCATCTCATCATTGGTGTGGATTATTTCACAAAATGGGTTGAAGCTCGGGCATTATCCAGTCTTACCTCCAAGAAGGTCGAGGACTTTGGTTTCAGCTCGATTATTTGCAGATATGGGATCTCGAATTAGATTGTAGCTGATAATGGAACTCAGTTCAATTGCTCCTCATTCTGAGATTTCTATTCCAGCTACGGGATCAAACTACAATTCACCTTGGTTTACCATCCGGAGTCCAATGGCATGGTCAAATCTGTTAACAAATGCATTTTAGAAGGTATAAAGCCGAGATTGGAACAGCACAAGGCCAAATGGGCAGACAAGCTCAACAACGTCCTCTGGGCATACAGAACCACGAGCCGAACAGCCACAGGTATTACTTCAAACCTGGTCTATTTGATTAACTTTATATTATTTTTCTCCTTCTACTACGGCTTTACCTTAGAGCAAATATACATAACGCGTAAAGCGCATTCTAAAGGCATAATTAATTGAAATAGGTGAAACACCCTATCATCTGACCTTTGGTATCGAAGTAGTCATTCCTATCGAGATAGGAGTCCCAAGCTTCAGGGTCACCCATTTCAATGAAGGACGAAATGGACAACTGCTTCAGGAGAACCTTGATCTGCTTGATGAAGTCAGAGAAGAAGCACGACTTCGCACTCTAGTCTATAAGCAGAAAATAGCAAACTTCTACAACAAACGAGTTCGACCTCGAACATTCAAAGTAGGAGACCTTGTTCTCAGGAAAGCTGGTCTAACGGGGTTCGAAACTCGATTTGGAAAGTTAGCACCAAACTGGGAAGGCCCCTACACTGTAGCCGAAGTGCCCCACCCAGGTGCTTATATCCTACAGGACACTAAGGGCATAAGGGTTCCTAGAGTCTAGAATGCCAATAACTTGAAGAAATTTTACCCTTAATACACTTCTTTCCAGTAAACTTTGTCTTATTTTTATAATCGTCATTATTCTGATTACTGTATATCGAAACTTAATTCATATATCTCATTAATGAATTTCACTTCACATTCGAAGTGATTCAGTTCTTTCTATTCTTTTGTGCATTGGAAGTTAATTCATCGTGGGTTATTTAGTCACTTCACTTTCTGGGTTATGATTTTTCAATTACACTTTACTTATGGAGTGATTTACTTCATCTCCTTTCATTTGAGGTCTGCCTCATGTATGTCCGAAGTCAATTCCTTGGCTGTCCGTTTTGCTATGTCCAAGGTCAGTTCCTCATGTTAATTAAGGTCACTTTATTTCATCTGAAGTGATTTACTTGAAACAAAAATAACAAACAAACATCAAAATATACACATCAAAATAACTTCAAAAATTTTATAAATTAGTAAACAATCAATTACAAAAAAGTTATTTACAAATATAACTAAAAATGAAAAAACCTAAGCTACTCTGCTGAAGGAGGAGGCTGTTCCTCAGTAAGGAGAGGGGGTTGAGGCGGCTCATCTCCAGCAGGCAGGGGCGGCACTTTTGCTTCAGGAGGAGCCAGCTGCTGCACTTCGTCAAAAGAGACTGGATGCACCTCGGGAGGCTGCACTCCGGCCAGAGCTGCCTGATCCTCAACACCAGCGCCTTGCGCTTCTTCTTCTTCTTCTCCTTCTTCTTCCATTGCCACCAACTCATCATCAAAGGCTAGAGGAAAGATAGTGTGTCCCTCTACGTCATGCCCCCACCTCAACTTGATCAGAGGTCAAAAGTCAGCAGAAAGACTCTCACCATCCTCCTCCACTCCTTCTTCTTGTTCCCCAAAGGTGACCGTTGTCACATCCACCTCTGAGTACTGGGCCTTCACCTTCTTTCTACAGTCGGTGAAGGCCACGATTACGGTTGGTAGCCAGTACAGTTTGACGATGTTCTCGAAGGTGCTGGAGTTGAGGAAGTTGCCAATGTGCTCCTCCATCCCGTTGTGAACCAACAGGTTCACGTTCTTCTTCAGCTCCGCCGCTCCTTTCCTCATATTGTCAATATATTTGTCTTGAGCTTCGAGCTTCTCCTCACAGATCTTCCTCTTGCATTCTTCAAGGACGAGTTTCGTGCTCAAGACATCATTGTCGTTCTGGAGCTCGATCACTGAAGGAAGAACTTCATCCAGCCTCATCTGCATCTCCTTCTTCTCCTTCTCCCACTCCTCCTTCTCCTTCTACAGCTCTTCCCTCTCCTTCTGCAGCTGCTCACACTGCCTCTGCAAGCTGGCATGATCTCTCACGCTCTCCGTGTACTCCTGCGCCAGAGCGTTTGTCCAGCTTGCACTCTACAAGGCAAGCAGAAGTCAGGCCTCAAACACAGAAGTCAAAAAAATAATAATAAATAAAGCAAGAATAAGCTACAACTCCCTTACATACCTCCAGGGCATGCCTCACAATAGTAGCCCCTAGCTGGCTCACCGCCTCATCCCTCGCTCACATCCTATCCACCTCATGAAGAGTGGAGTTGAGGAAGCGCTTCACCTTAGTCGTGTTTGTCGCCTCAAACAAACTCTTCTGGTACAAGTGAGGAGGGATGAACTCCTTGCCCTTGCTAGAGCCTCGCACCTCGACCTCCTCCCTCTCCCTAACTTCAGGATCGATTTCAGGAGTAGAAGGGCGAGGCACGAACTCAATCACCTCATCCCCCCTCACCTCTGGTTCAGCCACCTTCCTCTTCTTTCTCTGGAGTGGTGCCACCTCCTCACTCACCTCCTCACTATCCCCCATTGCCAGCTCTGACCTCTGCTGTATCTCCAGCACTCAAGCAGAAGTGCTAGGCAGGCGCTCTTTCTCTGCCACTCCTTTGTCCGCCGCAGTTGAAGTCTTTGATTTCTTCCTTGGCTTCTTTGGGATGCGCAGGCCCCCAGCAGCATTAATGAACTCGTCCATCTCAACTGCAAAACAAATATCAATGTCAGAACACACCAGTTAACATCTCATCAAAATTGCACAATATAAATATACACAAACCTTCGCTCAATGAGCTTGGCCCATAGAGCTCAGCAGCCTCTATTGCCTTCGGGCTGGTGAGGTACAGGATATCCACTACGTCTCCTTCTTCCCTCACCAGCTTTTCTACCTCCTCCACCTCATCCTCATTTAACTTATAGTTGTTCTGCTTGGTTTTCTTAGCTTTCCAAGCAGCCAACTGTTCCACTTCGGCATCCCTCCTACTCCACTCGGTGTCATCCACAAAGAAGAATTTTTCTTTCCATCCTTTGATGGATGACGGTCCAGCAGAGAATAAACTCCTATTCTCTTTGCTGGACGACCGAGGACCGAAGTAATACCACCCCTTAAGTAATACCACCCCTTCTCCCCTTAACCCTCAGCCTTTATTATGAACAAATGCTTGAACATGTTTACCGTAGGGACCCCAACCCCCTAAACTCGGCAGTATATAAGAAAACCTATTACTACCCTTACAGCATTGGGGGTTAGTTGGGTTATTCCTATACTATAATCTAATAATAACCCAACCAGTAATTTTGGAATGGGAAACCTAAGCCCCGCAATCAAATAATGAACATAGAGGGGCATCCAATGGTCTCGGGGTGCTGAGCATGCCCTCTCATTCACCTCGGCAGGCCTAATTAGGACATGGTGAGGGAGGTTGCAGTTACCCACGAGGCCCCTAAGACTATCCCTACTACCTAATTCGCTCACATACCCCCTCACCTTAGATACTATCTCTAAATCTGGGTCATAACACCCATCTACACTACTCTCGGCCTCCAAAACGTTCAAGGGAATCTCATCTTCCTCCTCCTTTACTACCCTTTGCTCCCTCCTCTCCTCCACCGTCCTCTTCGAACTAGTTGGAGATGGACTTCTTTTCGAATCTATGCTCCTGTAATCCAGGGGCATCACTTCACTCCCCACTACACTCATGGTCCCTTCTGAAGACATCTCCTCAATTTCTACATAAAGTAGGAGGAGGAACAGAGTTAGGACCCTTAAAAATTCTAACACACTCAATACATTCTCACTCCCAACCCTAATTTCCTTCAAAAAAAAACCCAAAATCAAACACAGAAAGAGAGAAAGGAGAATAGCATTTCGGCAAAATCAAACTCAAAAATTCAAAGTCGAAATAAAAAATTCATCAATTTTACCTGATTTTGATCTTGGGAAACTGTTGGTGAAGTTTTAATCGAAGCGCAGACTGCACGAAACCGTAGAAATTTAACAAGGATTTAGTAGCAAAATAACGAGAGTAAAAAAGCCCCTTTTACAAAGCTATAGCCTTTTATACCAAAGGCAAAATACGCCTCAATGGCTGTGATTAACTCCATCTAACGGCTGCAAGGACACCGTTTTGAATTCGACGGTTAACCCCAAACGGCACCATCTCAAGCTCGACGGTTCGTTTTTCAAATCTGCCCTTTGGACTGTTGCAGTTACCTTTTTACAAGTGGCATTTATTACGCACATCAACGACCAGTTGTCACGTCACGTGCTGCCTCTTTCTCAGGCTCCTCAGACGAGCCCACTTAAGCCCATTTCAACACTCTTCTTCACCTTTGTACATTTTAAATTTTGCCAAGTGTTTCACTTTGGCAACTGACCTGATGGCTCCGGCCACGCTTCTCACTTCGGCTCCGGCCACAGTGACCCAGTGACCCAGTGTCACACGTTTCACTTCGGCTCCAACCACAATGACCCAGTGTCACACGTTTTACTTCGACTCCGGCCACAGTGACCCAGTGTCACGTTTTTCTTCGGCTCTGGCTACAGTGACCTAGTGTCACACGTTTTACTTCGGCTCCGGCCACAGTGACCCAGTGTCACACGTTTTTCTTCGGCTCTGGCCACAGTGACCCAGTGTCACACGTTTTACTTTGGCTCCGGCTATAGTGACCCAATGTCACACGTTTCACTTCAGCTACCGCCACAGTGACCCCGTCTCACATATTTTACTTTGGCTCTGGCCACTATGACTCCGATCATTATTTCCATTACGGCTCTGACCACTATTCCTTAATATGGCTCCGCCATTATGACACATCTGCGATACAGATTTTCATTTTTATTTCCATTTTTACTTCTGTAACTCATCTTTTATACTTGTATCTCCTTTCATTTCTATTTATGCACTACCCCTATTATCTCTAACATCATTCACAAGTGAATGACTTCGGGGGGGGAATAGTGTAAGGACAGGACCGAGGTGCCCAACCTCGGACAAACGACAGTAATTCCTTTATGACCGAAGTGAAGGATAAATCCAAAGAGTCCTCCGCTCAAGTAGCTGCATGACAGCAACAGTAGGCATGCCCGCACCTGATCCTTCATGATGAGCTGCACAGCAGTTACGATGGACATCCTTGCATCCGAATATCTCTCAAATTCCCGATCTTGAAATAATCATCTGGAGATACACGTCAGATCCTGAATATCTTACTTGGCATGCCGCATGGGTTCCTCACTGGATCCTATAAATACCCCCCAGGGGCCACGTCAAAAAGGTGATTGAAGCCAACCCTAAGCTCTTCTTTTCTTTGCTCTAAAGGTGACCCCGATTATTGCTGACTTAAGCATCGGAGTGTCTACCCCGAGGACCCACCTCGGGGCTTTGCAGGTCAATCCGGAGTGCAGATACGGACTGGAGAAGGACGTCTGGTTTGGTGCAATTACAGCTCTGACAATGGATGTGCATTATCACGCACATATGCATTGTTATAATCAATAATCTCCTATAGCCTAGCAAAAAAGAATGCAAGTATAGAAAGATGAAAAACTACCATCTATGTAATTCGCTTGAGTTCTGTCCATAAGATAATCCCTGATGTTGCAGCTATATCATGTCTAGTTTAGAAATAGAATGCCCCTCCAAGGAGTAAGCCTCTATTTGTTGGAGTTTCAAAGCTGCTCCTTAGTGAGGATTCAATGTCATTGTTAGCAGGGGTGAGTACCCTTCCGATTTCCAATGGCAACGATTGGTAAGTATGCCCAGCGGTAGGTACAAATGGTAATATGGTATTAACACGCGGGCTAATGGTACGGTATTGATAAAAGAGACCTACTACCACAGTTGACATTAGAGCCTCCAAACTACCAATATGATTTTTTTTTTTAACATTTTCTTCAAATTATTTTAAATCTTACCAGTTGATATTTTGTAATTTTATCCTTTTCTTATTTTCATTTTATTATGGAAACGTTGTAAATTCGTCGAAGTTAACCCAATATGAGCAGAGTTTTATGGTTCATATTAACACATCCTCTCTCTCTCTCTTCAAGCCATCTTCATCTTACATCAAGCCTCTAAAGCCTCTCTGCAGAATTTTTCTGTTGCAGCTAGTCTTTTGCACTTGTTCTGTCCTTTTCTTTACCATCAATTTCTTGAGTTCAATTTTGATGGGTGTCGGTTTCAAGATTGGACTCTTTAGATTTCGTGGGTTTCTCTTGATTCTTCTATGAGATTCGATTTTCAGACTTTTTGGGCCTCGGTTACAAAGAAAGAGATTCGAAGAAGGTGAGGAATGGCTTGGGTTTTGAAAATAACACCGGCGATCTCTCCCTCGGCATAAAATTCAGTCGACAACCGATTATGGAAAATCATTTTTTGGTTTGGTATGGTTTGGTAGCCTCCACTCGCCTTAGTTGATTGCTGCCATTCTGACTGGATTTTGACTGTGGTACGGCTACCATACTGTGCCCACCCCTAATTGTTCGTGCAACAGAATTGACAAAAATTTTAAAAAAAAGAAACATGCCTGAAACTCAACATATGTGTCACCGATATATGGCCGTCCGCTATTCTGCAACATAGCAGTGTTAACAAGTGAAAGAAGTTGTTGAAGTTGCTTGGCTTTCTGGGTTTCATCCTCTGTCTTATTATTGAAAAGCACGTATCGATTGTGACAAGAAGTAAGAATTTCCTAGAACAATATTAAAAAATAAAAGTTCATGTTCACTTGCATAACAAGGATAATTATAAACTAAAACAAGAATTGCAAAGAGTTATCAAACTAGATTTTAATCTTGTAAAATAATGGAAACAGCCACAAGCCCATCATGTCTATATTGATGGTAAATTTGATTTCTCTTATATCATACACATCATTTACCACCACAAAATAGCCAATTCTATCAAGCATCTTGAAAACATAAAATGCAGCTAGTTGACATTTTCAACTCTATAAACTGTAAAACAACATGAAGTCTACAATTATATAAGGTAAACATAGGTACAATTATAAAGGACTTGGCTGCTCAATGAGTATTGGAAGGTGGGTGGATCCAGATCAACAAATTCCAATGAAGCTTATAACAACTGTTCATTTTTATTTTTGGATAGTCATAGCCAAGGTCAAAAACTAACCTTTAAAGGCTGTGGACACGCCCGTCCCAAATAATCTTCCAAAGTTCCATCATTTTCTTCAAGTTCATCACCACCAGTAAAAACTACGATCATATAGTCCGTACTTTTGCTTCCAAATGTTGGAGTTATGGTGTTCAAGCTGCCAAAGTAGCAGCAAATGGAAAGACATGAGAGCTGCAACATGACTGCACAGTAGCAGCAAAGTGACAGCACAATGGAGCTTCACATGCGCCACAAGAAATGGCAGCAAACTTCATCATTTTAGTCAATGTTTAAGATAGTTAATAATTATTGATTTAGGTAGAAAATATTATTATTTTATGTGTAGCCTTCCTCTATAAAAAGGAAGGAAGAAATTGAGTGAAAATTGAGAGAAAGAGAGCATGGTTTCTTCTCTCCGGTTGGGTGACTGTACGCACCCTTCCATGTTTATGGCTTTTATGTTCAATGTCATGTTCTAAGTTCTGCTCATTTTTTTCTCTGTTTTTTCTCTCCATTTTTCTTTTGTGCAAAAACGTTACACCAAAGAAGTTTTGCAAGCTACAAATCGTAGCCTCTTCCTCTTGTGAGAAGCGGGTCCTAACAGAGAGAACCACAAGGATTGCATGGATGCCATCCTTAGCCAAATTAATACATTTCTTCATTAATTCCGATCCAGAAGAAAAATCAAACAGACCTGCAATTTGTATCATGTTAACAAATGCCAAGTAGCAAGTAATTATCAAGATGTAAGTATAGACATTTTATAAATGACTTGCACATAGGATCATTCTATTTCTATAGTTGAAGGAGCTAGTGCTACACATGAAGCACCGAGAATTAGTAGCAACTCAAATGAGTCAAATGGTTCATACCAGGAGTGTCTATGACATTAATAATCTGACCATCTTTTAACACAGTACTTTCAAGTTCACAGGTAGTTGTAACCCCTGAGGAGCTTGCTCTTGATTGGAAAGCTTTCCGTCCAAGGATACTGTTCCCTGTTGCACTTTTCCCATTGCCTGTCCGTCCAACTAAGACCACTGTCCGAGAAGGGGAAGTCAGCTCCGCATCATCATACATTGTACTCCCACTCATGATCAATTACTTTTTCTACAAAATTCAAAACATTCCAAAAAAATTATCGAGATGCCCAGATGATCTTTTGCTTTGAATCATAAATATAACTTATGAAAAACCATTTTTCTCATGCATAATAGTGAGGGGAGAAAAAAAAAGGAGTTAAAGATGCAACTAAAAATAAGAAATTTAACACAAACCCAAATTGATCTTTTAGAAAAAAAAAAAAAAAAGCGTAGATTATATAAGAAACAGAAAGAATTTACAAACGAGAATTAAAAGACAAAAATGAACTTGATATTTTCGTGCGTTTGATGATGTTTAGCATTGCTTAAGAAATAAAATGATAATTGATGATTCTAACCTAAAAGTAAATACCTAAAAAACAAGAAGATTTGAAGAGTAATCTATGTTTAGCAGAGATGAAAAAACAAAGAATTGGATTTATAGAAAATTTACCCTGCAGGAAGATGCAAGTGGATAATTAAGGGAAATAAGTAAAGAATCCTGAGAAAAACCAAGGGAAGGAGGCTTCCTGACTTGCAGTGGAGAATATAAGCTGGAGTAAAGAGGCAGTTAAGAATACTAAGTTTTCTGCCATTTCTATTTAAAGATATAAACTTTTTTGGTTTCTAATTAAAGCTTTCAACTTTTAACTTTTTTTAAATAAGGATACCAACTTTGTGAGATTTCTGTTTAAGGATTTATTGGATGGCAATGCTAATGTAAAATTCTAACCATCTGCTGACATGTTTAAAGAAACCATGCATACCGCACCAGATGTTACAATGGTCTCCAACAGCCTCTCTTCACGAGTTTTGGTCTCTGAATAACTAAATGCAGATTCCCGATTACTTGTTTCTGTGTTTAATACTCTTGAATCCCGCCCCCAAGGTCCACTGCCTGCATTTTAGCATATCCCCCAAGCATCACTCCTTAATTCAACTGGTTCATATAAATCTGAGTACTCAGTTTCTGTGGTCAAACTTAGTTTTTCCAAATCCCTGTATTCGTTTATTAAGATCTTCAGTGGGTGCAGCCTTGTCCTCTGAGAACATAGCAGAAATCGTCTCTTGAGCTGTGTTTCTCATGGCCTTATTAGGGACATCCCCCTTCAAACGACCCAACTGCCCTTTGTAATGTAATAACTGACACACTGCTACCAAATTTTGTTGCATCTCCCTTCTGAATTCCATACCAGATTTTACCAATCCGTATTTTATCAACCTCAGAGCCTGCAAAATCCAAGAATACAGGTATAACATATTTAAAAAGTCTGAATTCTGGGTAAAATCTTTCCTGCATATCATCCTTATAAAATATCAATCAATTACCAGAACCAGACCTTGTAAGTAGTTGCTGGAATTAGAAATTGAGTGCCGAATCAATGTTAGTACTTTTTAGGCACTAGTCTGTTGTTTATTGTCTATTTGGGTGAACAATGAATTCCCTCCCCATGGGGATCATCACAGTAATGGGAGCGGATTTGCAAAATGAGAAACCTACACCTAACGCAGTAATAATTTTTATGCAACAAAACTGCCCCCTTCACTTACGGTTGGCTTGCTACCCAGAGCAATGTAAAGCATGAGTTAGCTTTTGTACCCAGACGAATGATTCAAGACAACATTTTAGTGGCTCATGAAGTGTTTCATGCTCTCAAACAAAGGAGGTGGAAAGTTAGACAATTTATGGCTGTCAAGTTGGATCCAAAAGGCTTATAATAGTGTGCGATGATGGGGCTTTTTGGAAGCAGTGCTCCATGCTTTTTGGATTTTGTAATCGATGGATCCAGTGGGTGATGCAGTGTGTTTCCACTGTCTTATTCGGTGAGGCTAGAGGGCGTATCATGGGTTTTCAGATTTGCAGAGGCTGCCCAACAGCGTTATGCCAATCTTCGGAGCAGCAGGTAAACTTTGCTAAATCTTCCATCATTTTTAGGACAAATACTTCTTTTTCTGTTAGAAGAGAGATATGTGCTCAACTATCTATTAAGAGGGATTCTGCAGTTTCAAAGTACTTGAATTACCTACTTCTTGGGGGAGATCAAAGCAAGCCAGCCTTAGTTACATGGTGGAGAAAGTTAAAAGTCGGTTGCAAGGTTGGAAGCAAAATTTGTCATCGCAAGCAGGTCATGAAGTTTTAATCAAGGCAGTGATATTAGCGATTCCCTCTTATGCAATGGCTTGCTTTAAATTTCATTCCAGGATATGCCAACTTATAAATAAGGAGATTAGAGCCTTCTGGTGGGAGCAAGTTGATCAAGAGCTAGCGTCGAGTGAATTGGATTAGTTGGAGAAAGATGATGTTTAAACAAGTGGCAGGGAGGCCTGGGTTTCAGAGATTTGGAGTGTTATTATTTAGCCCTTTTGGCTAGGCAAGCTTGGGGATCCTGATTCAGACTTCATTAGTGTTCAGCAAAGTGGCACTTCATCTTGGGCATGGGCAAGCTTATTAGAAGGGAGGGAGCTATTGAGGCAAGGGCTTCTGTGGAATATGGTAGGGGGGATAGAGTGGATTTTTGGCGTGATGCAAGGGTCCCTTTCCTTCCTAATTTCAAGATTGTTTCCCCGAAGCCACCATTCATATATATCCAGCGTGTTAGTGACTTTTTGAGAGCTAATGGTCCATGGGATGTTGCGAAGCTCTCATCTTTGCTGCTGCCATTTGAAGTGAGAAATTTTGAAAATTCCTACTTGCTCTTTGAATGATTTCTTTGTTTGGCATTAAATAAGAAGTGGGGAGTTTAGTGTTAAATCTGCTAATTACATTGCTTTCAATTGAGCTCAAGGTTCCCACTCTTCTACTTCTTTCTCCTCTAATGGGTCTGCAGCTTTTTGGAAGACAATTTGATACATGAAAGTCCCTCCAAATTGTGAAGGTTTTCCTATGGCAAGTTTGCAATGATGCTCTTCCAACGCAAGATAATTTTTTCAAGTATTGTGAATAGATTAATTTTACCAATCATGTATTAACTATTATATTTTTTTCAGTTTTATCTATTATTTTCGAATTACTTCAATCTTATCTATTATCTTTCACATTTATTTCAATTTTATCTAATCCATTATTTTTAACATAAATGCATGTTATCTTTAACGGAAATTTTCTTAGAATAAGAAAATATTTAATTCTTTAACTATATTTCTTTTGATATTTTGGCCCTTAAATTTTTATTTATCGCAAAATTAATTTTTATTCTTATTTTGCTAAATGTGTTATTTAGAAAACTACTTTATAGAGTGGACTGTATGCAATTTATCTTGTAAAATTATTTAAATGCCCTTAATTTTATTTTTATATTATTTTTTAAAGAAAATTTAAATAATTTTACAGGATATATTGTATATAATATGTTCTATGTTATGTTTTGTAAAACAGATTTACTTTTAAAACTTTTCATTCTAAACTTACTAAGTTTCTATATTTGAATTGAACTAGTTGCTCAACTTTATTACAAATTCTAACTAATCTATCTCTATAAAATATTTTTCTATAAAATATTTCTTTGAGTTATCATATTTTATTAGGATTATAGTATTACCTTTTCAAAACTTAAAAGATTACTTTTTTCGTTAAATCTAACAAAATTTTGTACGATAGACTATTTTGAAATATTCTTCAAAGTTTATAAACCATTTAGAAAGAAAATAAACTTTCTAGACTAAAATGAAATTAAGCTAATAGTTAATACTTAATAGACTAAACATTGAATTAAGCCTATTGTGAACTCTCCAGTATGCAATTCATGTTTTTAGTTGTGAAAAACCAGCAGTTCATCTTTTATTCTCTTGCCCACGTGCCCAAGCAACTTGGTATGCATCTAGTTTGGGTTTTGTGTCGGATGCTTGGTTACTGATTTTTGTTCCTAGTGGTCCTTGATTTCTAAACAATGTCAGAGCCAAAATAGCATTATAGTTGAGCAGGTGCTATGTTATGTTGGCTCATATGGTGCGCTAGAAAAAATGCTATTTTTGAAGGGATTCAAGAGGATCCAGTTGTCACTGCACGTAGGGCATCAAATATGTTGCAGGAATTTTTGCTGCTACTGCTCATGATTGTTTAAGAAGACTACATTTTCCAGTTACTCCTTCTGAATCACTTATATCTCTCAATGTAAGGCTCCACCTCCAGGGGTGTTTAAATTTAATTCTGATCCTCCTTTGATAGAAATAGAGGGGAAGTGGGAGTTGGTGTTGTGTGCAGGGATGGTAGAGGAAAACTTATTTCAGGGACCTGTTTTGTTAGACCTGCAATATAATCGCTGGTGGGGGAAGAAGCTCTTTCAGTTTTAGCAAGCATTAGACATGCTCAATGTTTAGGCATTACCAAGGCAGTTTTTGAAACTGACAGTAAAGTCAATATGGACTGTGTTTTGGGGAGGCAATTTGTGATCCTTTGGGAAATTAGGGCAGTGATTGCAGACATAAAGACTTGTTTGGTGCTTAATTCTCAGTTCTTCCTCTCTGCCAATAGTTGCTGTGCCAATAAGGCGGCAAATCGGGTTGCTAAGAAAGTTCTTTAAAGAATATGTCCAAGTTTTTGAACTCATAATACCCCTAATCCTCTACTTCATTTGTTGGAAAGAGATAGTGACTGATGGTATTTTATCTTTTTTAACATCTTGATGTTGTAATGAGCAGATAACAGTGCTGGTTTAAATGAATTTTGTGTTTGTTTGTACTTAATCTTTTGTTTCTTTGAATGAAAGAATTTCTGGTTTCAAACAAAAAAAAGAAAAAAAATTGAAAAGCATCAATTTTTTTAATTTTTAGAATGAAAAGCATCAGTTAAATTGATCATTTCAGTATATTCAAGAGTTAAGAATTAAAATCTACTTGCACTTCAAACATAAAATAATTATACAAAATCTTAAACATTCACATCTCTCCAATGAGTAATTAAAATTTATCCAATTTTAATCTTCTTTTTTTAAAGATAATTGTTTTTTTACTAAAAAAATCACAATATATCTCAATAAAGAAACAAATTATTAAGATTTTGTGTATATAATATTCATGAGAGCTGTGTATAAGAGCAACTCTTCAACTACCATTCTGCATATTGGTCTACTAACTGGGCCTTTCTATTGAAAGACTAAGACAAACAAAACAGAAAAAAATATATCCATATATATCCAGTTGCAATCCATATCAGAACCATAAGCATTTCCACCAGTCTTAATAATAATAATCCTGAAAAGAGAAAATGAAAAACATCCAGAATAATTTATTTAAGTTTAGGAGGGAGGAAGAGGATTATATAAACAGAACTATACTTGGAAAAACTTCTTTCACCAGAACCTATTGCCATGCTGGCAATCATGTCAAAGAATTGTACACCTAGCACTCTCAGCTTGCTTGCGCAGCTCCTCAGTCTCCCTCTGTGCTTTTTCCAGATGCTCTCTTAGCTTACGAATTTCATCATTTGATTTCATTTGAGCTATTTGTGCAATCTCTTCTGCCTTTAGTCGTGCAGCCTGCTCCTCTGCCAACTGTTGTTCAAGTCTAGAAGTAGCCTCTTTGAGCTTTGACTCAACCTATGTGAATAACCAAACATACCATATATTTTCAAATGAAAATATAACAGCATATAATTAGTTTTTGTTTGGCCAAAAGCATATAAATAGTTCGAAAACTGAAACAAAACTCCCTCCAATACTTAAGGGTCTGTTTAGTTACTTTTGTAACGTTGATGTTTTTGATTTTCTATTTTATTTCTTTTATTTTTGTTCTACTATTTACATGCACAGAAATGTAACAAAAAATCTCAGCTTTGCTCTGACAATGGATGCACAGCATCATGCACAGCACACATGCATTTTTATAATCAATAAGCTCCTTCTGCCTAGTGAAAAGGAATGCAAGTATAGAAAAGATGAAAAACTACCATTTCTGTAATTCGCTTGAGTTGCTGATCATAAGATTTTTCAATCTTCTCTTGTAGCTCTGTCATATCTGGTTTAGAATTAGAACGTCCTTCCAAGGAATCAAACTCTACTTGTTGGAGTTTCAAAGCTGCTCTTTTCTGTAAAGGATTCAATGTCATTGTTAGCCATATTATTCATGCAACAAAATTGACAAAAATAAAGAATAAACCTACCTGCAACTCGATAAATATGTCATCAGTATACGGCCGTCCATCATTCTGCAACATAACATTGTTAACAAGAGAGAGAAGCTGTTGAAGTTGTTTGGCTTTCTGCATTTCATCCTTTGTCTTGTTATCGAAAAGTACGTATCGACTGTGACACGAAGTGAGAATTTCCTAGATCAACAATAAAAAAAAAAAAAAAAAAAAGAATTCATGTTTAGTTTAGTTATAAACTAAAACAAGAATTGGAAAGATCTATCATTCAAACTAAACTTTAATTCAAGTAAAACAGTTGAAACAAAGAAGCATGCAAAAAGCTCACAACAATACAAGAATACATTTTTGGTAAGATTTATCACAGCCCCAAGGCCATCAAGTCTAGATTGATGATTAAATTTAAAATTCGATTTATCTTATATCGTACACATCATTTATCACCACAAAATAAGCAAGTCTATCAAGCATCTTAAAAACATAAAATGCATCTAATTGACATTTTCAACCCTATGGACTGTAAAATAGCATGAAGTCTACAGCTATATAAGGTTAACGCTATTAACATAATTACAACTATAAAGGACTTGTCCATTCAGAGACTTGGAAGGTGGGTGGATTTAGATCAACAAATTCCAATGAAGCTTATAACCACTGTTCTTTTTTTATTTTTGGGCAGTCAAAGCCATGGTCAAAAACTAACCTTTAAAGGCTGTGGACACTCTCGCCCCAAATAATCTTCCAAGGTTTCATCATTTTCTTCAAGCTCATCACCACCGGTAAAAACTACAATCATATAGTCCATAATTTTGCTTCCAAAAAAGTTCTGCAAGCTACGAAGTGCAGCCTCCTCTTCCTGTGAGAAGCGGGTCCTAACAGAAAAAACCACAAGGATTGCATGGATACCATCCTTAGCCATGTTGATACACTTGACAATTTCTTTGCCTATCATTTCTGATCCAGCAGAAAAATCAAACAGACCTGCAGCAATTGGTATCACATTAAGTCAATAACAAAAAATGAATGAGCAAGTAATTATCAATACAAAAGTATATACATTGTCTAAATGACTAGTACCAATAATCATTCTATAGTCAAGAAAGTATCAATTAGCAACTCAAACAAGCTTAATGGTTCATACCAGGAGTGTCAATGACATTAATAATCTGACCATCTCTTAACACAGTTCTTTCCAGTTCACAAGTACTTGTAACCCCTGAGGAGCTAGCTCTTGACTTGAAAGCTCTCCGTCCAAGGATACTGTTCCCTGTAGCACTTTTCCCATTGCCAGTCCGTCCAACTAAGACCACGGTCCGAGAAAGGGAAGTCAACTCCCAGTCATCATCCATTGCACTCCCACCCATAATCAATCAATTTCCCTAAAAAATCCAAAACATTCCCAAAAAAATTATTGAGAGACCCAGATGATCTTTTGCTTTGAATCATAAATCTAATATACAAAAATTCATTTTTCTCATGCATAAAGATACAACTAAAACTAATAAATTCAACAACTGAGACACGAAACTTCAAGGGAAAAAAAAAAAGTCAAAATTAAACCCAGCTTGATCTTTCACAAATATATATATATACCACCCACACACACACACACAGAGATTATATAAGAAACAGAAAGAATTTAAATTAAAAAAAAAAAAAAGAATTATAATGATGATGCTTAGTTTTGCATAAGAACAGAATCATAATTGATGATTCTAACCTAAAAAATAAATAAATAAATAAATCTACTAAAAATCAAGAAGATCTGACATTTGAGGGGAAATCTATGTTTAACAGAAACGGAGAAAACAAAGAAATAAATTTTACAGAAAACTTACCCTATGAGAAGATACGAGTGGATAATGAAGGGAAGTAAAGAATGCAGAGATAAGCAGAGCTAATGGAACCCCTTGACGAAGACGATTAGAATTGAGTTGGGACTATAAATATGGGACTACTTGACTTGTAGTTCTAATAGGAGAGAAAGAGTCAATCCAATCCAATCCGATCCGATGGACTTCAGGATTTTGTAGACCATTGTGATCTTATTTATGGGCTCACGTAATGTATATAACGATTGAAAGAATCTACTCAATTATATAATTGGATTGGACTCAAAATTGGGCCCATAAGCCTGAAATGCTCCGCCGGATTTTTCGTTTACAACGGATTAACAAAATAAATGAGGCGTTTGTTTCAAAGTTTGGAGAATAGTTATTACTGGTTAGTTCTAATTGAATAAATTATGTATTTTAAATTATAATTATTATTGATTAAATATTGATTATTACTCTTAGCTGTATCAAAACAGTTAATTCAAACACCTTCTAAATTTTGCCAAGGTTAAAACCTTAATGTGGTCCCTCTACTTTGGTAGAAAGTTTCTTTTTAGTCTCTGTACTTAAAAAATCCCTTTTTTGGTCTTTAATGTTTGAAATCCAATTCTTTTTTGGTCTCGTTAAATTTTGACATTAAATAACAGAAATTTTAAAAGAAAATTATCAAGAAAAGGCTTCTTTTCAAAGTAGAGGGACTAAATTAGGGTTATTTTTAACCCCATTTTTATCTCTTTACTTTAAAATTTTTATCGTTTAACATGTCATATATGAATAAAGATACTAAAAATGACCAGGTTTTAAACTTTAAAGACAACAAAAAAAAAAAAAAAAAAATTAACATGTCATATATGAATAAAGATACTAAAAATGACCAGGTTTTAAACTTTAAAGACAACAAAAAAAAAAAAAAAA